CAAATATAAATTACTTCGTTATTTTACCTAAATTAAATTATAATAAAAAATTACACAAAAAAATGAGAAATTTTAAATAGATAATTTGATACGAATATCGATATATTTTTGTTATGCATAAAGTATTGTATATTGATGCATATTACTTAAAATTCAAGATTATAAGTAATTATGCATAAGTACAACTTATTAAGTTCGATGTTTGAATTCGTATAAATAACTGCGGATAAACATAATCAAATAGAGAATGAACATCTCATTTTAAAATATAAAAAATCTAAAATATAGATAGAATAATTATCGAGTTCCAGCAAAATAAATAATTACTATCTTTATAAAAAATTATATTATTAAACCAAATATAAATTACTTCGTTATTCTACATAAATTAAATTATAAAAAAATTGAATTAAAAAATTACACAAAAAAATGAGGAATTTCAAATAGTTAATTTGATATTAATATCGATATATTTTTGTCAAATTTTTATGATATCTTCAAACATATATTTTATTCAAAAATAAAAACACCATCGTTTTCTCAAAATCACATAAAGTCATATTATAACATCGACTGAAATAAAGAATAAAATGAAATATTAATATCACGATGTATCTCGCTGCATTGCGCGAGTACGCTTCTAGTAATAATAAAAATTAAGAAATTACATAAAACAAGAACTTTAAAAATTTTAATTTGATACTAATATCGATATAGTTTTTTCAAATTTTTATGATATTTTTAAATTTATATTTTACTTAAAAATAAAAATATTATCGCTTTCTCAAAACCATAAAAAAACCGTATTATGTTGACATAGATGTGTCTTGATGCATTGTACGAATACCCTTCTAGTAATCTTTAAAAATCAACTTTCTATTAAACTTTTATTTATAGGGTATGTTTAATACGGTTTTTTGATCGAGGCATCAAAATTTTGGGGCTCAATTTTACTCGTGTTTAAGGTCATGATTTATATAATAAACATGTGAATCCATTCTAATGAAAACCTATATAATCCTTATATATATTAAAAGCAAAACCAATGATTATGATTTGTCGATATGAGATTTGAGTATTCCTTATATCTTGAAATGTAGATGATTTTGGGTTATCCCACATTGATAAGAAAAAAAGTTGGAAGATGTAGTTGCGTGTGTATATATATATATATATATATATATATA